TAACAACCAGCACTGAAGAATAAAAAAATAACTTATGAGGGGAAAACTAGACAGATTGCTGAAACTTTTTTACTATATTATGAGCCTTTATGTAACTTAACACAACCTACAGCTTCTTCACTTGACGTATCTCAATTTTTAGATGCCCTTCACTTTCCAAAACTCTCCAGCAAAAAATTAGATCTTCTCAATCAACTTATCCTTAACCTTGAAATAATTAATGCTATCAAGGGTTTAAAGAAATCGAAAGTTCCAGGTCCGGACGACTTTTCAGCACTTTTTTACCAGATACTAGGCCCCGTGGTTGCTCCTCTCCTAGGACAGGTTTTCAACTCAATTGCCCACTCTCTTGTATTTCCAACATAGATGCTGGAGGTGAGTATCATGCCAATTCTGAAGCCAGGGAAGGACCTCTCTCTAGTTAGTAATTACAGACCAATATCACTGATTAATTTAAACATTAAAATCTACTCTAAAATTCTAGCCCAGAGACTAAATACAGTGATATTGGATCTGATGTACCTCGACCAATCAGGCATTATGCCCATAAGGTCAGGGGAGGATAATACCCGCAGCGTCTTAAACATCTTGGATGCAATACACCAGAGAAGTCTGCCCTCTGTCTTGGTGGCCTTAGATGCTGAGAAGGCATTTGACAGAGTCTACTGGTCATTTCTTGTGCAGACTCTGCGGGCATTTGGTATAAACAGTCTATTTTCCGAGTTGACTATGGCACTTTATGCTGAAACCCAAAGTGAAGATTACGGGTCATTCCCTGGTCTCAGAGTATTTTTCAATCTGAAATGGTACCCATCAGGGGTGGCCTTTGGCCCCATTGCTCTACACTCTTACAATGGAGCCATTGGTTGAGTATACCAAGAGATAAGAGGTATAGTGATAGGGAAGCAATAACATACCATAATGCTCTATGCCGATGATGTTCTTCTTTCACTATCTTCACCTGAACTATCGATTCCTGCTCTCCTGATTGCTCTTGATAAGTATGGTGCCTTTTCAAACTAGAAATTAAACCTCGTGAAAACCCAGATTATTCCTCTATATTTGTCACCACAACAGCGGCTGTTATTAACAAGATTCGGTTCAAATAAACATCATTCTCACCAGATTGATTAACTAGGCATTAAGATTTGCCCTGGCCTGGAAAAAATCGCCCCCTTGAACTACACGAACATGCCATCCAAATTCATTAAATTTAGGATATCTAGAAGGAGAGTTTGACCTATTGTTTTGTCCAAAAGAAGGCCACGGATTCCTAGTATGATTCTCAAACATGGCCTAGACCAAGATGGACTGGCTTATCCAGACATTAATAAGTTATACGATGCCGCTCAGATTTCACATGCCCTAGTCTGGGACTGGACTTTGGTACGAGAGGCCGGTTGGTATACAATCGAGAAGCTTAGTTGTAAAAGCATACACCCATTTTTGCTGTGCTGGGTAACAAGTAAATACTATAAGAAGCTGGAAATTAAGATTTCAACTGTTGAAAACATAATGTCCTCCTTATAGTATGTGAAAAAACAAATGAAGTATAAAATATTTTTTCTAGACTGGCACCTCTGGAAGTAATCTCAATATGTTTGCCTGACATCACCATAAAATTTTTGTTAAATAGTGGGATCCTGATAATTGGGGACCTATACCTTAATTAAATTTTGGCCTCTTTTACAATTCTAAATTGTAAATATGGTCTTCCGGCTCGTGAGCTCTTTAATTATCTTAGGATCAAGTCCTTTCTTATATCAAATCCTCCTGTGCCCCACAGGCATGGGTGGAATTTTTGTCATAGGACACTTCAAAAAATGGATTCTCTAAGACCTTAAGGTTTTTTTGATTCCAATAAATCGTTTGAGAAACCCAGGACTTTTCTACAGACACGTGGCGGTCCTATCCTCTACAGAACTGATTCAATGCCTGGTGTAGCACCAGGAAAGCACTTCACTGCATCAACTTGCAGGAGCAATTTTTTAAGCTTACTCACCATTGGTATATGGTTCCATCTAGATTGTTTAAATTCCAGTCAGGCTTTGATGAGTATTGTTGGAGATGCCAGCTCAAACTGGGCTGGCAATTTCACATCTGGTGGGCATGTGGATGCCTATATGAGCTTAAATCTACACTTAGAAATTTGTTCAGGAACTTATTCAGACCTTGTTCAGAAATAACCCCACAAACATTTCTTCTCCACCTAGATATTCCAACACTTAATAAACACCAGACATTCCTGCTTATCGATGTCTTGCTCACATTTAAAATTTGTCTGGCCAGGTGTTGGAAGCAGAAATACCTTCCTTCATGGCTAGAGATTAAAGCTTAAATTGATTTCAGGTTCAATTCTAAGAAATACTTTTATAACGATGATGAGTCGAGAATTAACCTATATAATAAAATCTGGCATCCATGGCTGACTCTCACTTCTAAGATCTGCCTCCACACTGTGGTGTATCTCCCGTTCCACCCTGACGAGCTCTGAGTACTTACCTACAAAGACTTTTTTAACCAATGATAAGCATTCTGTCCACTTGCCTTGTGTCATGACATAGTTCCAAGTAACCTGCCTGTACCCTCTGCCGCCAACCACTTTCCGCTGGTTTGAGTGTGTAAGTATGATGAAAGCGTGCGGCTGTATTTTTTATTTATTTTGGTATTATGAAACCCTTGTCCATAACATTCTTAGCATTAACAATACGGTCTGTCCCGACTCATCAATATGAAAGTTAGCGTATGACTGTCATTCTTTCCTGATTGTCTATGATCAATCTGTAATTATATAGAGTTGTGTAATATTTATATTTTGTCTATTTGTATATGCATCTTTTTTTTACCTTTCTTTTATAAAATTCAATAAAGATTTCTAAATATATATATATATATAAAATAAAATCAGACAAATCAGAGACATCCTATATAAGATATATGGAAGCCAATAAAGCCAATTAAACTACAAAATTAAAACATTATAGCCAAAGAGTGCAAGACCAAAAGTAAATAAATTAAAACAAACTTCAAAAATGACAGTGTAGATCTGGAAAAGGCACAAATGTTAAATCATTATTTTTCTTCTGTATATATCAAGGAGGAACCTATGAAAAGAGATATAAAAATAATTGCTTCTAAAAGCTTGCAGAAATATTGTGATTTGGTGACTCAAGACAAGGTTCTACAGCAACTAAAGAAAGCTAGTATAAATAAATGATGGTATTCACCCACGAGTACTTAAGGAACTAGATGTGGAAATACGTAAAGCTCTGTATATGAAACTAGAAAACTCACCCCACACATTGATTTCACTTCCAACCTTTCTCACAAAAATAAAGTGATACATGTTAAGGAGACCTACAATTGACTATAGAGAAAATTCCCCAAACTACGTCTGATATCCTGCTTTAGTTATTTAGTTTAGTTATGATCAGTACTTGAAAATAACTTTGCTTTCCTCACATATTTACAGCAAATCCCTCTTTCATCAAAACCAGGACTCTTTAAAAAAATATATAAAATTCACAAAACTTTCTGATAACTATAATTTCACCACCACTTAAAGGACCACTGTAGTGCCAGGAAAGCATACTCGTTTTCCTGGCTCTTTAGGGTCCTTGGGTCCCCCTCACCCTCTGGGCCCCCCTCCCACCGGCTCTAGGGTGAGGAAGGGGTTAATCCCTTACCTTTTTTCCAGCGGCAGCACCTCCTCCTTTCCCCGCGATTGGCTGGCAGGAGCCGCATGTGCATTCAGCCAGTCCATAGGAAAGCATTCTCAATGCTTTCCAATGGACGCTGGCGTCTTCTCACTGTGAAAATCACAGTGAGAAGCGCGGAAGCTCCTCTAGCGGCTGTCAATGAGACAGCCACTAGAGGCTGAATTAACCCATTTGTAACTGCTATGTTTACAGCAAGCAGGGTTAATCCTAGATGGACCTGGCACCCAGACCACTTAATTAAGTTGAAGTGGTCTGGGTGCCTATAGTGGTCCTTTAATTCTTTTACTCTAAGTTGGTTGCATGGAGTTACTGAAAATTAGGTTTCTGTATATCTCTTAGCATGTTATCTTAGGCACTTGTGCCTTCTTGTCTATTTTGTATTATGTCTTTTATCCACCAAAATCAACATTCTCTTTTGGGCCTTTTCAACCTACCTTGAAATATTTTCACCTCCAACTTTAAAATACATATTTTAACCCTTTATCTTATGTCAATTTCTATTTTTATATCTTGTATTAATCTGGTTGTCTAATGTATTACAATGTTCTGTTTGTATTTTTTTAATTTGGCTTCCTCTTACATCACTATACAGAAACGTTTATAACATTTTAAATTGAAAAACGGTTACTGATTTTTACTATTTTTAATTTACTTTTGTCTATTGACACTATTTTTCTTTGGTATTAGACCAACAGTTTCTTCTTCCTTCCCCTTCATAATTTGGGCGCAACATGACACGTACAGGGTTTTTACTAAAAGTGAAATCAAAGTGAACAGTTTGTCACAGTTTTTTTTACCTTTTTTTCTGTAATTGACACTAAAACCAACCATGTGTTCTTCATAACATTCATTAATGTGAGCTGTGTAGTACTGTTCTTCACTGGTTTCAGTCTTGGCAATCTCACAGCAAATTAATATCTTCTTTCTTGTCTCCAATTGCTTACCACCATTTGGAAACTCCCGAGTTCAGTTCTGGATCCATTTTAGCTATTTTACTAGACTAGGCATCTTAAACAATGTCCTCCAGATGTTGATTGCCTACAACTCACAAAATTCTTTAAATGCAATAGATGACCAGATTATCCTTGAAGTTGTAGTCAATATCTGGAGGCTGGAGCTTACAATGTCTGCCAAGGCATACACTAAACATATCTCTCTCCATAAAATTCTAGCATTTTCTTAGAAAAGTGCAAGCTAAGGTGCAAATTAAGATAATATATGATGAATAAAGCAATTTTAAAACTCAACGTTTATTCAAAATAGTGGTCATTACATTAATTTAGAAAAAAGAATATAAGTGGAGCTTTAAAGTACCTGAAGTACTTGGAAAAATGACAAATAAATTCAATGGTATTCCTTCACAGTGATCTGTAAGTAATATGCAACATACACATAGTGCAGATAGTATGAACTATATATGGATGTGAACAGAAAATAAATGGTAATTCACAACTCACAAGAGTGGAGCCAACCGGTCACCTGGCTCCAGTGTGTAGCGCTCTGTGATCTTTTTAGGGGAGATCAACCACCCACTATTCACATATCCTTCTAGTTTCTTCCTCCTTAATTTATGTGGAACAGACAGGAAGGTCCCAATGATGGAAGGATCCACAATTTATTAACAATGAATTGTGAAGACAGCACGAAGACTGATTGAACCCGGAAGTATTGGTCATCCACGTGGGTGAGGTGCGCGTGACATGCTCTATGTGTTTGCTAAGCAACCTAATGGCAATCAAAGCCTGTGGTTGCTAAGCAACAAGGAGAAATAGCGATACGAAGTACCAGGGATCAAACAAGGAGAATCGAAGAAAAGAGTGCAGTACAGACACCTTTTTCAAACAGCTTTTCTTAGTAGGTAATTTAAAAAATATAGTTTTACTCACTACTTGTGTCCTAGTATTTTTAAATTACCTACTAAGAAAAGCTAAGTTTGAAAAGGTGTCTGTACTGTACTCTTTTAGGTTTCTGTAAATTTTCAGGTGCAAAATAGGGACTCTAAATAAACTGTCAATACAAAATCCAAACGTGTCTCTGTATTCACAGCTTTAAGGCATTTTATTTTGAGCAATAATGCAAATTTGTAAGACATAAATGCTGAAAGCAAATGTTACTGCGCCGAAATAGTCTAACAATGATATTTATTGAAAACAAAACCTCTTCTCGCCAATAGGAAGTCTTATAATAATGTACTGTGGTGCTTGTGGTGCTTGTGGTGCTTGTGGTGCTTGTGCTGGTCGACTAAGCACTTACATTTGTTGTTTTCTTTTCGCTGATCTTACAATACATCTTGTACAAAAATGGCCAAGCAGTAACATTTGCTTTCAGCATTTGTCTTACAAATTTGCATTATTGCTCAAAATAAAATGCCTTAAAGCTGTGAATACAGAAACACGTTTGGATTTTGTATTGACAGTTTATTTAGAGTCCCTATTTTGCACCTGCAAATTTTACTTATAAAAGCTATCCTACAAGTTATTTTATTTTAGAGATTCCATTGCATTGTTGGTCAAAAATCTGCTCACAACTGGCAGAATTAATTTTAAGAGCAGAGTCCCTCATGAAAATCATAGACTGAGAGATCTAATAACACAGCACAGGTATGTATAATCATGCCTGTGATGATGATATTAAATATATTTTTTTATGTTCTAAGAATAGTAAATAAACATCCTGCTGTTTCTGACAGACAAAAGATCCTCTGCTGAATACAAATAGCTACTCTGAAGATGCAATATTATATTAGCTTCAGGTGCATTTCCTGCGGTGAAATCTTGCAAGTTAGTACAAAAAAATCTATGTGTAAATGTGTCTATCTGAAGGTGCACTCGCTAGTAGACACAAACCATATAATTACTACAAATGATACATATTAGAAATTGCTGAAAGGCGTCCACTGCTCGAGATTTCTGATCTAGAAGCAACCTGGAATAATACTCTAGACAATTGTACAAATTTTAAATTGTAGTGGTGCTAAAACCACGGGCAGCTTAAGAAACCAAACCACCCAAGTGTGATGTCACTCCCATACTTAATACGTATTTAAAATAAAACAGGTCACACAGATTGGCTTTAAACCTCATAATTTTAAAATCTCAGGTAAAAGTCTGTAGTAAAAAACATAAAGACACATCATAGTGCAGACTGATAATATATATTGGAATAGTCAAGGTAACTTGGAATACTCACCAGTTTCAGAGCCACTTAGTGGTTCACTCTACTATCTATATAGGCATTTTTCTCAATGTTGAGGAGATATAACGGAAATGAAGTCCCACCAAATACTGCAGCTCTCTTGCACAGGTACTCAGGAACCAGTTGTAGTCAAAATGATTTGATTGACAAATAAATATATTGCACAATGCATTTCAACCTTTCACAAGGTCTTCCTCAGGTGCATAAGTAAAAATAATGTTCACATTTGTTTATATACCTAACAAAATTAACAATATTTGGCTCAGGTGCATTAGTTACGTCAAACCAATGACCCTTACCATATTTGGTCTAGTTCTCGGCTTTGGTCTGGTCCGGCTTTCAGTCACTCTCAATATGGAGAGCAGGTAAATTTTGTCCTTTTCCTCCTCCTACATTTGTCAAGTATATTCTGTGCATGCCACCTGTAACATGGCGGCGCAGCAATTTTCTGTGACGCGTTTCCTGCCGTTTGTGCATAGATTACTTATGACGTATTTCCTGCCCTGACTCAGTCCATGTTTCCTAATATCAAAATGTCCTAATAACTCCTAATTCTTGTCGACAGTGTACCCACCCCCAATAGTGGTGTATGTGCCCTAAAATACAAATAGATCGATGCCGATAATGCTCCTAAACGGAACCCCACCAGCCGGGTTCGGAGTTGCCGATAGGTATAGGAAGCCCTGTCAAAATGGCAGGGATGAAACAAATATAAATATAAAGACACTGATGGTGCAGTGGGAAAGAAAGGATAACGCCAGGTACTGGCCCCTGACGCGCGTTTCGCCACTCAAAGCTCTTCAGCTAAATATAAAGACACTGATAGTGCAGTGGGAAAGAAAGGATAACGCCAGGTACTGGCCCCTGACGCGCGTTTCGCCACTCAAAGCTCTTCAGAGGGGAGGTCCCCTCTGAAGAGCTTTGAGTGGCAAAACGCGCGTCAGGGGCCAGTACCTGGCGTTATCCTTTCTTTCCCACTGCACCATCAGTGTCTTTATATTTATATTTGTTTCATCCCTGCCATTTTGACAGGGCTACCTATACCTATTGGCAACTCCGAATCCCGCTGGTGGGGTTCCGTTTAGGAGCAATATCGGCATCGATCTATTTGTATTTTAGGGCACATACACCACTATTGGGGGTGGGTACACTGTCGACAAGAATTAGGAGTTATTAGGCTTTTTGGGTTAAGGGGTGCCCTGGAAGGCACAAGCGGCTAGGGCTGGAGTATAGCTACTTAGTGCTTAGTAATTCCCCCCTGCCATATTTATCGTCAGTTATCTTTCTCCCTTATATGGGTCAGATCTTCAACCCAGGATATAATACTTTATTTATCCTACAGCTCTGTCCGTTATACTGACGTGGTAATTACACCATACTATTTAAGCCTAAAAACGGGACGGGCTCTCACTTTAACACCATTTTCTTAAAGGGAAATCCACTCTACTAGGACTATTGGTATTAGTCTGTCCTACCTTTCTCCTTTTTTTCTTTCTTTAGTTTTGTATTTGTGGTGAAGTCATTCACTAGGGGTTATTCCCCACATAGGAGATATTAATCCATATCCCCCCCTTTCCCTTGTTTTTTGGATTTTTGTTTATTTTTATTTATTCAATTTTGTATTCATTTGATTTTTTTCCATTGATTAAGACATACTGTACCATTGGAGTCTTTTGTCTTCTGCTTCTCCCATATATATACATCTGGACTACGAGTCTTCATTTGTGACCATATAATTTGCTCGCTTTCCCACAAGGACCTTCTCCTGCCTACGTGGATCACCCCAATTTTGGACTATTACAGAACCGCTTGGACTTTTGTATATCCATATATGTATTATTTTCACTTGTTTGTAAGGCTCTTTTCATTTTTCTCTTTTGCACTTACTTAGAGGGGATTAGAGGTGACCACTCCATTCTATAGGTGTGCTGCCTATACATTATACTATTCCTTTCCTTGTTGTCATATCAGCGCTGACCCTTTCTGTGTTTTTTCCTATACCTTCACCTGCTGCATGTGTTTATTCCAGCTTATAGGGACTCTATAGGCCCCCAAGACTAACTCATCTCATTGAAGTTGTCTGTGTGCAGTGTCCCAGTCCTACCTCATCCTGCAATGTAAATCATTGCAGTTTATGAAAAACTAAACATTGCAGGACTAAGACTGCCTCTAGTGGCTGTCAATTTGAGGTACTTCCTGGTGGTTAGGTGACTTTTGGTCAGCTAACTTACACTGGACGTCCTCATACTCTGCATAAGGAGATCCAGCATCAGTAAAATCCCCATAGGAAATCATTGAGGGCCTAACGTGCTTGCAGCACTTGCGGCGCATGCGCATTAATCCCCCTGTCGGGTGATGTCGAAGGAGACGGAGCACCGACCTAGTGCAGAGGAAGATCGGCGCAAGAATTGGGTGAGTACAGAAAAGGCCACTCAATAAAATTAGGGCAGCTTTACTTAACTCATTGACTAGCATAAACTCTTAAGTGAAAAAAAAATACTAAGGATAATTGAAATATCTTCAAACAAATATTATATAGTTACATAGGCTGAAAAGAGACATATGCCCATCAAGTTCAGCTTTTCTCACATATGCGTTTTGCTGTTGATCAAAAAGAAGGTAAAAAAAACAGTTTGAAGCACTTCCAATTTTGCAACAAACTAGGAAAAAAAAAATGTTTGACCCCAGAATGGCAATCAGATATCTGCATGGATTAAGCAGTTATTACCCCAAACTTTAAAAATTATATTCCTGAGTATTATATTTTTGCAAATATTCATATTTAAACATCTGTACAGATTCTTATAAAACCATGTCTGCGGGCAAATAATTCCACATCCTTGTTTTTCTTACTGTAAAAATCCTTTCCTTTGTCTTAGACTAAATGTTCTTTCTTTAAGTCTAAATATGTGACCTTATATATAGTTTGGTTTGTGATTTCCAGACAATGGTTTGTAAAGGCCCCACATATAGTGGTGTAATGCTACAATAACCCCTCTGAGCACTGTTTTTCTATCCTAAAGTTTAAATTTGTAAACCATAACTAAAATGTTCCATTCCTCTTATTAATTTTGTAGCCCACCTCTACACTTTTTCTAGTGCCATAATATCCTTCTTTAGAACAGGTGCCCAAAATTGCACAGCATATTTAAGACGTGGTCTTACCAGTGATTTATAGAAAGGCAAAATATTCTCATTCTGAGAATTAATGCCCCTTTTTATTCATGGCAATACCTTACTGGCCTTAGCCCAGTGCCCAGTCCCTCAAATTATCTAAATCCCTCTGCAGCAAAGTAATGTCTTGCCTGCATTGTATTACTTTACAGAGTGTTGTGTCAACCACAAACACTGAAACATGACTTTCAGTGCTTATTTCAAAATCATTCTTAATATGTTAAAAAGAAGTGGTCCTAGAACAGGACCACTTACAACTTTTTTTCAGCTTGACAATTTACAATTAATGACAACCTTCTGTACTCTATTTTTAAGCCAAT